ACTGCCCCTACCACCTCAAAATGTGGCCAAGACAAGTTTAGTTGGCTGAACAGAGAATTAACATCTCTGAAACAGCCCCTCATTGTTAACAACTCCAGTATATTGTTAGTGATGGGGACAGGGTTAGCAGGGCTGTTCATATTCAAATACAACTCATGGGAGCTGACAGCTCTTCCATGGAAAGAGCTGCTTGTTTCTGACTGTCCTTTCCAGCTTTGTGGTTGTTTCTTTTCCAGATGCTGCTGTTAATGGAAACTGGGGGTGCTGGGCCAGCTGGTCCCCGTGTTCAGGAGGTGAGAGGACAAGAAGGCGACAGTGCAACAACCCTGCCCCACAGAACGGCGGCTCCTCGTGCTCAGGGCCAGACTCTGAGGCAGTTCCTTGCTAGAAGGAACCAGCAGGAGCTCACAGAGAACTGATGGGCACTTGGCAGACTGCTTGGGAGGACATCACCTCACTGCTTTCTCAGCTGGCCTCGCTCTGCCCATGGGTCTCCTCCAAATCAGGAACATTTCAGAAGACACTGGGAGCTGGGGGGTGTTGGGAACCACACCTTTGGGTGTTCAGTTGTCCAGTGGGATTGAATGTGCTTACCAACCTCAGTATTTTGCCTTTTCCCTGTCTTCATTGCAATGGGCTAAATGAGACAAGCTTTATCTCTGTCTGTATTTGGTAGCTGCATGATTTCAAATTACACTGTCTTGTTGCTGAAGGTTCCTTTGAGATAAGAAGAGACACTTTGATCTTACGTGCAGCAGGATGTGCACTGATGCACAGCTTCTGTGAAGGCAGCTGTGTCATGTGGAGCAAAATCCAGCACATTAAAGCCTAAATCTCAATGAGCACCACGGTATCTAACGTGACATTTAGAGCCACTGTGCCTCACTACCCTGCTTTCCCAATTTATTGTATTGTTCCCACCCCTGCCATGGGCAGGGACTCCTTCCACTATCCCAGGTTGCTCCCAACCCTGTCCAACCTGGCCTTGGACACTGCCAGGGATGGGGCAGCCACAGCTTCTCTGGGACAAATGGAACCTTTTGAAAAAGCTGTCTGCACATCCCCTGAGATCTGCCCCGAGTAGCTGCATTTGCCCCAGACAAGCTCTGGTTAAAAAGTCTGATCCCATGAAATCCAGTGTTCCAGCTGCTGCTGGGTCCACGTAGGGTGGGACATCTGACTTGGAGAGAGTTCACTGTAAAAAAAGACAAACTGGTTTGCCTGTTATTACCATCCCTGGAGCTGTGCATCACAGTCCAGGTCTAACAGAGGAACTTTAAAACACTGTGCACCATTTCATGAGCCTGGATCCTTCCAGGGACTTGCCTCCTACAGCTTTGGTGGTGGTAAATGATTTTTGCCAAGACATTTGGTTGGGCCTGCTGCAAAACAACCAGCAATAGCTTTGCTCCAAAAGGCAGTTCCACCAGTGCAAAGTTGTTCATGAGTGTTGTGAGTCTTCTAACATCCACAAGGTCAAACTCTTCTTCTGAGGGTTTTTTAGCAGAGCTGGTGATGGTGGGCTGGTATCGCCCGTTCCTTTCCTTTCAGACTGACGTTGTCTGAATGTAATTCCTGTGAGAGCAGCTCAGGCTCCCTGACATCTGAACAATGGAACATGCATTTAGTTGTAGCCCTCATGCCGCCTCCACACTTATCGACAGGGCTTCTGTGACAGCTTTAAGAAAGGCAGAGCACATTGCATATGTAAAACAAGAGGGCTCTGTGCTCATTATGGGCTTCATCATTTAGCTGCCAACCCAAAACATTTCCCTTTTCCACTGTGTAGCTGCAATATCTTTTGTGTGATGGAAATTTGCCAAGAGATTCTTTTTTGGGTCATGGTCAAAGAGGTCACTGCTTGTTTGATGTAGGATATCCCTCCAGGTTTTTTGCAGGGGCTCTGTAGAAACCTCTGTGGAGGTGAGGACCCTGAGCATGGTTCACCTCTGAGGACACAAACTGCAGTGTCATTGCCTGCCCTTCTTCAGAATCATCGGTGTCATCTGATTAAGGACATTTCTCAGATGAGTCAAGTGGCTTTTGTAAATTTAACCACCTTTCCTGATCATCAGGCTGGTTAAATACACAGCAGTGGTGCCTCTCTCCACTGCTGCAGCAAGGACAGCCAAGTGTAGTGACCTGACTTGGGACCATTGTTCCCAAACCAGAAAAACACAGATTTTTTTGAAGTGGTGACAGTACCTGAGTTTGCATATTTGGGGTTTTTAATTTTTGGAGGAAGAGAGGAGAGATTTGTCAGTCATCAAGATCATCAGGACAGTCTGACTGAAGTATGAGTTCAGCAGTGGCTGAATATTCAGCCTGTAGGCTTAGAATCCTCCCATAAAGGACATAACTTTACCTTGTCCTTGTGATTCTGTGCTTTGATTCTCCTAACTAATGATTTATTATAACCTGGAGGGTGATAAAAAACACTGTGCTGAATCTTTTATTGTTTCATTTTGGTTGGCATTAAATTTTGGTACCATCTTTTACTGGTGTTCCTAACTCTCACTCCCCGTGTAAGTTCAGATTAATAACGCGCGCGCGAGGGCTCGGGAGGGCTGCGGGCGGCTGTGCACGTGTTCAGCCCTGCTCCTGCTGCTCTGGCCCATCCCTCTGGCTAACATACTCACCTCCTACATCCCATGTTGTATTTTCACAAGCTGTCTTGAGGAAAAGAAGAGGATAAACACGGAGAGGCTGTATTTAGTTGCACCTCCCTGCTTGAAGACATTGCTGGGGTATCGCGCTTGGGGAACTCTCAGAAGGGTATTTCAGGTGAGCTGTAATTGCTTCATCCAGCTTTCCCAGGACAAAACCAGCTGGAATCTTGCCACCCCTAATGTCTCCATCAGCAGTGGGAAACTGGACTGCTTTCCAGCCTGGATTCATTCATGTGCCCCCTGTTGTGTCATGTCACACAGAAGCTTTAGAGGCTGGAACGTCGTCCAGGCTGCAGCTGGGGACTTGCAAACTCAGTATTGCCAAATTATTTTATCACGCTGCTGTTTCCCCCACTTCCAGATGGATGTAGATGTTCCTGCCCAGGTTCTCTCCCACACTGAGATGTTTTGTTGAAAGCAACCCAGAAAGGCCACGCAGAGGTATTAGCAGTCCCCAGATTTCACACTCCTGGTTTTACCCTGGTGGCTGAAGAGCCCAGTGAGCACCCAACACAACTGCCAGATTTCAGGTCAGAAATCATGCCTGCAGATTTATCTTCCTTTTATATCCCATGTTAAGACCTCCTGTTTCTGTAAATCAAAAAGCTAGAGTTGAATAGAGTAATGATTACCATTATAAACAAATATTTTTACTGATTTGTAGTGCAGCACCACAGGTCTCACTGTGGTGGTCATGACAGGCAGCACCACCACCACCACCAGTCCCTCCCCAAACTCACCAGAACCTGGAATTTCTTTTGTTTCAGATTTTTCTGGTGGGATTAAGTGTTTTGTATCTTCCTGTGACTGTGCATTCCGCTGTATGAAAAGAGAAGGCAACAATTTTTGAGCTGCTCCTGCCAGGGAATTTTTGCCTGCTCTAAACTCCCAGGCTCAGAGGGACGCAGGCGTTGGGGCAGCTGATGTGACATTGACCCTGAGGTAGAAAACAGCTCTGTCTCAAGCACTGCCCTTATCTCCTCTGCTGTTAGCTGGTTATCTGGAGCCTACACCTTGCAACCTCAGGTGTATTGTCATCAATCATTTCCTATTTTCTTCTGCGTGCTGGTTTCTCTCTGCCCTTCCTTTGTTAATAACCCAGTTTGCCTATATCCATAAAAATATCTGATTGTGATACCATTTATCCAAAGCACCACGCATCCATCATGTGCTTATGAGTGAGATAAACAAGGTCTCCTGGGAAATATGCCGCCAGAAATATATAGGATAAATAACTATATCAAATGTATGTCAGTGTGCAAGAGGGGAAAATCCATTCATTAAAACCCGTGTGGAACTGCAGTGTTTTATTGTACCCTCTAAGCTTTTAGTTTAACTAAGAAACACACATTTTTGCTGCTTATCTCATCTTGCACAACTCTCCTGCTGCCCACTTCAGCATGAGATATATTAGCTTCTTCCACTGCCATTGTAAATGTGTAATTGCTCATAATATTTTTTTTTCTTATTTTTTTCTTTTTTCCTTTCCCTAGACCTTACAGGCAGCTTCTTCCTTTCTTCTGACTCCAGCTTTGCTGCTCCTGGGTTTCAGCATGTGGGTGTTTGAGCCCTGGGGTGGAGAGGGAGGACAGGGGCAGTATCCACCTTCCTTTGGTGTGAAGGAAACCCCTGGGTTTGTGTCTATGTGCCTTGGGCTATGAGTTGAGTGATGAGGATGAACAACAGCAGGTAAAACATAGCTTTTCTGCTCTTATTTATATGTTTCCTGGTGGGATTTTGCATGCAGTTTCTTTAATCACTTTGATTTATACTTTTTTCCTTTTTTTTTTTTTTTTTTGGTGGTTCTTCTGTGATTTATTCTTCTAGAAACAGCTCTAAAAGCTGAGGATGCAGGTTGTTTTCCTACAGGCCCCATCTTTTCCCAGCCTCCAAGGCATCAGATCTTTCTGTTCATTAATTTCTCCCCTCTGGTCAAAAAATGAGCACAATTGGTTTTCTGGCTGAGGTGACTTTGTACTCATTTACTTGCAGACATTTTCCTGAGTCCTAGGAAGTCGATGTAAGAGTTAAGAATTGCTTGTGAGCCAAAGTGGTCCTTGGTGTAAGAGCCCTGTCTCGTGTTCCCACACAACCTGGCAGCATTCATCAAATCACCTGTTGTGATCCTCCATTTCACATTCCTTTGGATGTCTAAGTCACACTGATCCATGGGTGCTTTGTGCTGCTTCATTTCCTAACACAGAAGACATCAAATTCAAGCCCTTGGGAGCAAATTCCTCTCTGGGTGAACAGTTCCTTTGCCTGGAATAGCAAGGTTGGCCCAAAAGTCCACCTCTTTGTCCCCCAGCAAAGGGATTTTTCACACAACAATCCATCTCTGGGCTTGAGACAACTTGGTTTGTTGTTTTCAGCCCATAGTTTCATTTTACAAGCAAAAAAAAGTGGTTAAAAAGCTGGCCTTTGGCAAATATGCCCACAAAAGAAAATATGGGTCCAGATCTTCAGGTGCCATAAATCAGCTACAGTGAAGGAACAACACTGATTTACATCAGCTGAGTGTCAGCCTGTAAATCCCCACTGACACACAGTTGAAAAACAAGCATTTCCAAGCACCTGAGCAATTTCTTTCACTAAACCATGATTCCTTTCTACTCCCCCTCTCCATTCAAATGTCTTCAGAAGGGCTGCTTTGTGCTTTGAGGTTTTGGTGCTGTTCATAATGCCTGATTCCTTCTCAGAGCTTTTCTGCCCCCCTTCTCCCCTCGCAATGAAAAGCTCAGTAAAATGAAGTGCCGTTTGCCTTCCGTCCATCCCAGGTTTTTGTGGCAGTTCATTAAGAAGAGGGAGCTGCAGGCTGTCGCCGTGGTCTCTGGACACAGTTCAATACTGTGTGCATTCTTGTGCTGAGATTTACGTCTCACATTCAAAAGAGCCCCTTAAATCAAGCAGCCTGTTAGCATCTTCTCAGGCTCTGTGTGCCTGGGAGATAAAATGCCTGCGTGCTAATAGTCAATTCATCACTGATCTTACAGAGGAAAAGCCTTTGCCTGTGTGGGAACATCCTCTGCCCAACGGTTGCGTTCGAGCCTCTCTATTTATGGCTTTATTTATTTATTTAAAATTCCTCATCAGCTTGGGCTTGCATTTTGCAAGGATGCTTCAGCATCTTCAGGCTGAAGCCTTCTCCATGCAGAGCAGCATATGGCTTTGCTGCAAATGCAGCCCTGGCCAATATGCTGGACTTACAAATCTGACAGTGCCAACTTACAAAAGTTTTGTGATACATATGTCAATACCAACTGCATAGATCGTGAGCTTTTCCCGTGTTTCCCAAAGGAAAATACATAAACTCCTTGAGAGTCAAGCTCAGTTATGTAAACACTCGCTGTGGATTTATTTCATGGCACCCATGATCACCCAGCAGCTCCACCTCCTTTGGGTGGATTCTCTGCCATCTTCTGTGCTGCAGCAGTGGTGTTGAGCACTGGTGGGGCTCCCATCACATCTGGTGGGGCTCCCATCACATCTGGTGGGGCAAAACCGTGGGAGCAGTTGCTCAGCTTTTGCGCAACGACTCCTGCACATGTTGAAACGCATCACCGGTCAATTATTTCTCCCAGGGGTAATTCTGTCGCAGTCCTGGAGTATTTATAGCCCAGCCCAGGTTCCAGACCACCCCGTCCCAGGCACCTTGGGCTTTCAGCAGGCTCTGCTCTGGAGGTTTCTCCCAGCACAGGGCTGCCCTCCGTGCTGTGGGGCAGGGTTGGAGCATTGCCGGCTGCGCCGCTGCATCCCTGCCTGGCACGGGGACCAGCCTGACCAGCAGCTCCAGCGCCCGTCCGTCTCACCACCTGGGGACACACAGGAAAAAAAAAGGGAAAAACAAACAAAAAGGGGATTTCAGGTCTGGCTGAAACTCCTCTGGACACAGACTCCCTGCTCTATCCCGGCCATGCCCAGGCTGTTGAGATCAAGGCACTTTGAAGCCAGAGCGGATGAATCAGCATGGCCCCAAACACCAACAGCTGTTTCTTGTCCAACTCTGAAACCCTCAGCCTTTCCTTTCCCAAAGCACACCTCACAGCTCTCTCTGCAGCAACTTCCTAGCCTCTGACCAAGGCAGAGGGACAAAAGTCCCCATACGTGGTGGGGATGTTGTGAAAAGTCCTTTTGGAGATGGGTCATTTCAGAGCTTTTTCATTACAGTACAGACTGAGCTGTCGGGAGCGGTCGATACTATGGATTATGGCGCTGCTCCTGAATGATGGGAATGCTTGATGGCTGTCATTTACTGTCGTTTTTTATTTACTCATCTGGCCTTTGTGCCTGGCTTGGGCACTTTATTAATCCAGACAGCACAAATGGATGTGTGTGCTCTTACTTAGTGCTGGCTGGGAAGCTGCTTTTTCCATCTGCTGGAACATTGTGCTTTTTAAAAAAATAAAATAGTTTGGTCTTAAATGAGTTCTGGAGCTGAAACTTTGAAACTAAAAGTTGCCCATGAGTTAGAAATGTGCCTGTCCCCACTGCTGCTAAAATCAAGGAGCACAAGGCTGGCCAGTCAAGGGCTCTGTTTTGGTGGCAGATCCTGGGCTTCCCAAGCAAATTCCTGTGATTTGGATTTTATCTTTTTTTTTAAAGAAACTCACTTTGCAGTCACTGAAGCAAAGCTTTGGCATTCAGCCTCACAAACCATCTCCCCAGCTCTGCTCTAACTCCTTATCTCATCACAGCTTTGATTTTCCACTGGTGAGACCCCAGTGATGAGCCCACAGTTGAAGGACTGGAGCTCTGCCTGGTGGAACTGATCTAAAGATGGATTTTTCTGCCAGCTTCATGTGCTGAAATATATATATAGATTTTCTTTTTTTGATTTTTTTTTTTTGGCGTAATGAATCAGGACAAAAATATCCAGAGAGAGCTGCAACTTTTTTTGGAAATGAAAGAGCCTGTTCCATCCGTGGCTTTTTCTGCTACCCACTTAACTTTTTAGGGTAGTATAGAAAGTGACAAAGAAAACATAAATATAAGCCTGTCACTTTTGGAAAACATATTTTTTCACCCCAAAATAGACACTCTAGTCAAAGTGCATCCCAGGATGGGGTGGGAAATCTGGCAATGTAGCAATTTTTCACTAAAACAGCTTTTTTTGGCGGCACATTGTGTGAGCACCTGAGCCTTTCCCCTTCCCTCCTCTCCCTGCCTGCTGAGGTTTGTGCTCTTCCTCTTGGAGCACCCATCCTTAGTGGGATGCCATGAGCCCTCCAGAGGATTTCCTGGATTTAACCTTGCAATTAAACACATCCTCATTTCCACTACTCTATTTATAGATATGTAAATAAATATCTGTGTAAATAAATATCTGTATGAATAAATATCTATATAAATAAATATCTGTATAAATAAATATCTGCATGAATAAATATCTGTATGAATATTACTATTTATAGTAATAATAAATTATAGAATGGTTTGGGTTGGAAGGGAACCTCTCACTCCAACCCCTCTGCCATGGGCAGGGACACCTTCCACTATCCCAGGCTGCTGTCCAACCTGGTCTTGGACACTGCCTGGGATGGGACAACCTTTGTCAGGGTTTCACCACCCTTAGAGGGAAGATTTCCTTCTTCATGTCTAACCTAACCCTGCTCTTTTTCAATATAAAGCCATTCCCCCCTCTCTTGAGCTGCCCATCTCATTCTCTTGCAGGGCTGCTCGGAATAACGCAGGAACAAAATAAGGGAAGCAACAAGAGGGGAAGGTAGGATTGAGGCATGGATGGTGGGAGCTGCTGGTTCAGCCACGTGGAGGGGGGAAATCCATCCTCTTTTCTGCCTGTCCCCCTTCCCTGCTGAGCCTGGGCTCTCACCTGGGCGCTCAGTCTGCTCGCAGGCAGGGCCTCTGTAGCCAGAGCGGCAGTGGCAGGAGCAGGTGTCACCCACCAGGACGGGCTCCCCGTTGTTCTGGCACGGCCCGCAGCGGCAGGGGCTGAATTCCAGCAGGAACTCATCCAGAGCCCGCTTCAGGTGCTGCCTCTTGGTCTCCATGTGGCCGAGGTCGCTCCTGCGCAGGATTTCGTGGATGGGCTGCAGCTGCAGGGAATGGAGATGGATGGCATGGAAACAATTTCAGCTGGGCATCGACTGGGATGCTGTGACATCGCTGGATAAATTCAGGACTTGGGGAAAAACTCATTTGTCTTCCTCGACAGCTGCATGTACATCATGCAAATGTGTTGCTGCCCCAGTGAGGAGCCACCGGTCCAAAACCTTCCTCATCTTGGAGGTTTGTGTGGGATTGGCTTTTCTGGACATGCTTTGGAGTTTTAGTATGGATTCGAATGATAAGTTAAAACACCCCAGTAAGCCCGTTTTTTTTACTAATTTCTTAGTGCTGTCACAATCCCTGAGATTCTTGCATGCTTTTTGCCTTTTTGAAGAAAATGTTTTGGAAAGAGCTTTGGACAGAGGGTGTCATCAAAATTTATTGCCATCCTATTGCTTGCAGTGGCCAGATTGTGAAATATCCCATAAATGCTGAGAATGAAGAATTTTGCCTATATATTTTTTGCCCTTTGATGTAGTGAAATAATACTGTCATCTACAGCTTTGGGAATGTAACTCGCTCATCAATATTTTCCAGCAGCAAAACACAGTTCCTATATAAAAGTCAGCAAAAATAGTCCTGTTTGGGAAGCAATTATAACTTGCTCAACTGAATATTAACATTCAATGAGTATTAAAGCTAAAAACTTGGGACTGTGTGAGGACACTTATATTTGTCCATCGATGCAGCTGTGCTAACACTCCCTTTCTAGGCCAGGAATTTTTTCCAGAGAAGACCTGGGTGTCAGCTCACTGTGCAAGGCACTGTGAGAGTGATTTGTGGGGAGGATCAGGATCAGCTGGGCTTTGGGATGAACTCGTAAGCAAATTTGCACAAGCCTGTTTGGCAAACTGAGGGGGCTGCAGATAAGAGCTGCTGAAGTGGCTGCTCTGGTTGCAGGGTGACTGCTCGGCTCTGGAGCAGCCAACAGAGAGGTCAGTGCATGGTTTACTGGAAAACTGCAACAAATTTTGCCCAGAATTGATGGGAACTTGTGCAAAAAGGTGAATAACCTGCAGCTGGAACTGAAAGCACTTTTTGCCACCAGGTGCTGCCCAGGAAGGCTTGCACAGTCCTTCTTGCCCTGCCAATAACACAGATAATTCCCAAATCCATTTTCCCTTCTCCCACTCCTTGTCAGAGCTTTCAGCCCTGCTTTCAAATGAAGACAAGAGGGATAGAAATGGCAGCGTGTCCCTGCCATGACAGAGATCCTTCCCCCACGTCCCACAGCTTCTCCTGGAGCAGATTGGTGATCTTGGCATCTTGGGGTCCTCCTGACCATAGCTGAGGGGTTGTGGCCATGCCCTGGTGCCAGCTCTACCCTGCATTATTTGTTTGTAGGGTTGCTCTTCTCTGTCCCTTTCCATCCCCTCTGCTTGCACCCATCTCCTTGGAGTGTGGAGAAAGACAGAACCCACCTGACAGAAAAGCCAGGAGCTCCCTGCTCAGAGAACTCCTGGAGAGGGCCTGTCTATGAGCTTTTGCTGGGTAACAAAACACTTTCCCCAGCCCCCCGTGAGTCCCCTGCTTATACAGGAGGGCAGACAGCATCAGGGAGAGTGCTAGGGATGAATACAGCTGCAATTCATTGTGAAGCTGTTGGGGGGAACACATCAGAAACTTAACCTGGCACTAATCCAGCATTAAGCTCCTTGTCCATCTCCCTGTGGATGCAGTCAGTAGGAGATGTACTCCCCATTGTGAAATGAATAAGAGGTTACCAGATCAGTGGCCCATTACATTTAATCTTGTTCTGTGATGGGATCACAATAAAAATACGAAATGATCTGCTCGGCTACACTTTCATTCCTTAGAGCAGCAGAGTTTCTTCAACTGCAGAAAAGCCTTACCTGGAAATCAATAATAGCAGGATTATATTTTAATGACCTGGCCCAGTGACGATACATTTTGCCATCCCAACTGTTCAGGAGCCCTCCGCTGTAACTGGTGTCTCCCCCTCTAATCCGGGGGATAATATCTTCCACAACTGCACTGTGGCTCTCAGCATCTGCAAAGTTGAATTGCACAGGTGTTATTCAGCTGCTGTTTCCACACAGACCCCAGAAACTGCTAAATGGAGGTGAGATCAATCATGCAGGGGGCTACCAGGGAGCTGCCTCCTGGGATGGATGTGATCTCCGTGCTCCCTGCTCGTGGGGTGAGCCCTGCCACCTCATCACAAGGTGACAAGTTGAGCATCCCAAATCCCCTAAGCTGATAAGACCTGAAGAGCCTGCACTCCTCCAGCCTTAGTTTCTGGGTAGGACATGGGCAGTAGATCACACTGTCTATAGCTCATTATGGAATGTACAAATCTGGGGGGTTCCTGCCCTCTTTGAGCACTTTTTAGAGTCTATTTTGACTTGTTTTAGTTGCCATGCACACCCAGTCTGTCATTGCTGTAGACTGCAGCCTCCCAGCCACCCCACGACCTCTGTTTCTAATCCAGACATTGCTACATCAATTCCTGCTCTTTTAAGAGGGATCAGGAGTCCTGGAGATGCAGACCCAAAGTTTCTATGGTCCCACCTTGTCTGGGGGATGGCACCAGGGCTCCCTTCCTCACCCCTTGTGTGCCTCTACATGAGTCTCTATGCCCAAGTGACCAAAACAAGTGACCCAAGGAGCCTCAACACACCCCTGCCCTGCTGCTGTACCAGTTTTCAGTAATCCTTTGTTTTTGCAGTCAGAGTATGTCAGAGTTGCACCCAGATCCAGTTTCTCCTTGCTGGCTGTAATGCCAAGGGACAGGCCAACACAGGCACTTATCTCCTCCGTGCTGATGGCTGCAAACCAGAAAGCAGACAGGTAAATTCAGTGACTCCTGATGTTCATTTTCCCACTTGTTTTTTTCCATCTTTGAATAAAAGATTTAGTTATTTTCATGGCTTTGTATTTCAAAGTCAAAAGCTATTCTGGGCAGAGGACAGTGGAAAAACCCCAATATTTTATTGGGGTATACTGGGCCTATCATATAACAGGTGTAAAAGCTGTTTCCTTAGAAAATACTAGAAGAAAGTAAAAACTTTAAGGCTTCAGGCACAAACGTCCCTGTCTGATCTATGTATTTAACAACAAACTTTTGATTTTTTTACAGACTAACACATAACTAAGGTAAAGCCAGGAACAACAGTTGAAATCAATAGATCCTCACTAATTTTCCTAAATTAAGGCTTTGACCCACCTATTAATGGCTTAAGCAGCACCTTAAGGAGTATCTTAGAAAAGGTCTGTGTGCTGAGATCTGCCAGAGCTTTCCTGCCTGCTGCTGCCAGCACCACCACATACATCATGAAAATACGTAACTGGAGAGCCATGAAGCGACTGCAGAGGGGAGAAGGGAGCTAATGAGCTGGTTTCACCAAGGTAAGCAATGTGCATATTTCATACAGCCTGGTTTTATGTAAGCACCTCAGTGTACTGCAAATATAAGCCTGTGCTCTTTAGCAGTTAAAAAGTCCATTGATTTCAGTAAATGTGGGTATTGTAAGTAATAGGTAACTTGTATTGCTCTTTTTTGTTGGAGGACCTTAAAGTGTTTTCCAAAGGAGCCTGGTGATCAATACCATGGTATTGAGAGGAGGCACAGAGATCAGTGGGGGTTTTGTGCCGTGGTTTAATGGTCTGAAGTTTAAACCTTTGTCCAAGTCCCACCCTGGAGCATTGTCTGCTGAACAGCCTCCCATCAGCACTGGGGAGCAGGGCCTTGCCTTGCTTGTGCTTAAAATATTGCTCAAACACTCATGGCTCTGGTTTTGTGGAAATATGGACTGGTTTGGGTTAAAAGGGACCTTTAAGGGCCATCTGGCCCAGTCCCTCTCCCTCATGGGCAGGGACATCTTCAACCACACAAGTTTTTCCAGAGCCCCATCCAACCTGGCCTTGAATGTGTCCAGGGATGGGGCACCCGCCGCCTCTCCAGGCAACTTGTGCCAGTGTTTCACCAACCTCGTTGTAAAAAATGTCTTTTTTAATCTACATTGACCCTCTTTTAGCTGAAAACCATCACCCCTTGTCCCGTCACAATGGGGCCTGATTAAGGCCTGTCTTTCTAATAGGCCCCTGGAAGGTTGCAATGAGGTTTCTCTGGGGCCTTTTCTTGTCCAGGCTGAACAACCTAAATTCCCTCAGCATTTTCTCATAGGAGAGGTTTTTCACTCCTCTAAACAGCTTTGTGGCCTCCTCTGGACTTTCCCCCAACAGCTCCATGTCTTTCCTGGGCTGGGCACCCCAGAGCTGGATGCAATGCTGCATGTGGGACCTCACCAGAGGGGCAGAATCCCCTTCCTTCACCTGTGCATGGCCTTGTTGGACCTCATGGGGTACCCATGGGCACAGAGCTTGTCCAGATCCCTCTGGGGTGTCACCTGAAAACTTGTTTGCTTCTGCACACCCTACAGGAGGGGCTCACTGGAGCCAGCTAGGGCTCAAATCTGCTCCTTGGCCTGGTGGGTCCAAACCCTGCTTAGGTACTCAGCATCCTGAGAGTTCCAACTGGTGAGAGCTGAAACCTGCTCCAGACTTGAGTGGGAACTGCATCCCACTGCAAAAACTGGGCCCTTGAGAAAGATTAAACGTGTAGCACTCAATTACTTGTACTAAACTGTTCAACAGTTGTAAACACAGTGGGTAAAGTTCATTCACCCAAAGCAACATGAGTGATTGCTTATCTTGGTGCTGGAGTGCCATAAAATTAAACTTGAGGAACACCCTGATTAATTGATTTGCCATGGTTCCCGTTGAGTAATTATGTTCAGCGAGGGGCTGTCGATACCATTCGCTATTGGAAAGATCGGGTCTTGATAAATGAAAAGTGGTTATCACTGCAAAAGGGTGGCCTCAGTAAATATTGGCACTTGAGGGGGGAGCCCTGATAGGGTTGGGGTTTTTTTTTTAGTATGATATAATTTGTGATAGTTAAATGTGCTGGAGTGATAAGATTTACTGCTGCATTTTGAATTAATCAGAATATATGAAGACTCTTTCTAATTTACTCCGTGCATAATGTTCCTCCCATAAATGTTCTTGTAATGTGTGAACACATTATGCTGTTTTCTGCTAAATAATAGAACCATAACAATCTATTTTAAAAACAAGTAATGAAAAATATTGATGGCAGAGCAACGAGGGACCTCGTTCTGACATATGTATTTATTTCACTCATGACCACATCCATATATGCCCTTGCAGCCTGAAAGCTGGGAATGGGTCTGGTAGCAAAACTGCAGCCCTAAGCTCTGCAGCGAGTTGTGGATATCTAAACAGAGAAGGTGATTTCTTTTTCAAAATTTGGGTTTCCTAAATGTTCAAAGTCCAGCTCTGTGCCAAGCCAGGTGCTCAGTGACCACCTAAGCTGTGTCTCATTTAGGAAACTCAGCCAAGGGATCTTTTTCCTGAGTCTGTGCTTTAGTCAAGTGTTCTCTATAAAAATAAAATAAAAAAAAAGAATATTCTCTGTTCCAGAGCATTTAACAAACAGTTTTGTGGGCTGGGTGGGCTCTCAGGATGCAGTGGCTGATCTGAAGCAGCTCCACACTCAGCCCTGTGGGGACTCAGTGATGCGTCTGCAGAGCTTCAGACTCATCTTAGGAAGCTCTGATTTTAAGACTTGAGCACTTATATCCTGATCCTAACCATTCCTCAGGGAAGGAGGGATAATCCTCTTGCAAACACAGCCTCCAAGCATGGCTGTGATCAACATTAGAGAAATCAGGGGTTTTTTTACTAAATGCTTTCAGACAGTGGCATATCAGACACTGCAGGTGGGTCCTTCTGGGTCAGTGTTGTGTGACACAGCACTGCTGGCTTGGTAAGACTGGACTTTCTGGCAGAGCCTGCATTAGATGAAAATGGTTCTGCATTAGAATGAAAATTACATCTCTACTGGGGCACATTTTTGTCTTTTGCTGGACTTCAGCATCCTTCTTTCCTAAGATAAGGCATCTCTTAGCAGTAAATCTCCTTACATACACAGCAAGCACAAGATAAAGCAAAATAATAGCCTCCCTCCACATGCTCCTGATTAATTCTTCCTCTGAAATTGGCAGTTTGCTTCCTGAAGACTTGCTTGCCAAGACCTTGCTCACTTCTATATCACTCACCCTTCAAAGTGAAGAAGTAATTTCAAGAGGCATCATGTTTCCAAACATTAGAGGTTCAGGAACTTGATGAAAATTCTCTCAATCAGTAATTTCTTGTGGAAAAATTGTCATGGTTAATGTGCAATGTGGAGTGCATAGTTATCCTAATGCATATGGGACCAAACCATTTCAGACCAGAGGCAGAATCTGGGGTAGAACCATGAAAATTATTGAAATTTCTGAAGCTACAGCAATTTGCACCTGTTGTACAAGATCAGAATTTCCTTCTGCATCACTGTCTGGCCTGGAGTTACCAAGGCAGTGGTACCCTCAGCGCATCAGAGTGATGGCCCTTAGGGGAAATGGGATCTGTTGCATTGTTGACACCTTTACAGAAGTTATCAACCTGGTTATTGAGCTAGAATCCCATATTATTGTTCTGCATACCATGTTTTTGATTGGGAAAAACATTACACTTTTGACTTGCTAGCCATGGTAATTCTCACACTTTCAGCATCTGCAGTGGGTGTTTTATCTAACTGAGATTTAGAGGTAGGGCTCTCCAGCCTCATACACTCCAATTTGTTAAGAACTGGAGCTAATGGGGGTCTGTTAGGCTCCAGATGTGACACTAAGCAGAGTAAAGTGGCAGAGGTATTGCTGAGTGCAGTGTGGTATTTCCTTCTACAGAAAATTGCAGCCCTCACTATGAACATGAAATGTGAGAGGGTTGCTTTGCTGAACTCTGAGTGGCTTTGCAGCCTCCAATGGTGAACAAAGATGACAAGAAATAGGAGAAGATTAGCAAGTGACACTGAGAAAATAATGCTCAGGTTCCTTCCATAATGGCCAAACCCTCACCCAGGTTCTTCTGAAATCAGAGCACATTTGGTGACACTCAGGCTAATCCCAAGCCATGTGGCCAGTAGTGCCACCAGGCTGGAAATGCCAGGTTTAAAGCAGAAAGCTGAGAACAGAGAATGTATTTTGATTTTTCTGACCTTTTCTGCGCATTTCCTCCTTATTGATGACAAGGATGTACTCAAAGACACCCCCCATGGTGCCAGATGTCATGAAGTGGGTGCCATAGTCGTCGATGAATTTGGCATACAAGCCATAGTTGTAGGTGTCTGGGAGGTCCTGCAGGGTGAGCAGCACATCTTCATCCAAAACAATGTTGTCCCTTCTCATCTTGAAGCGGGCTGTCTGCACCTTGGTCACTGCTCTAATGAACCCAACATCCTGCAGGTAAAGAAAAGAGGAGCTGCAGTCAGCATTAATTTAAACAAATGAATTTCTAGTCTTTAGGTTTGCAGGGGAAAGCCTGAGTCTCTGACTGTCAGTGTATGTATGAAAACAAGCCTGATTTTAAATGAAATAATGGTAATTCTCTTTTTAAAGTCCTGTTCTGATGTGCTGTGGAGGTGGAGGGCCGTGGAGGGTTTTATTGATATGTGAATGTGATCAGAGCTGGGCTCCACATGATTCCCCTCCACTCTCCGTTTCTGCAGTTTCTTTTTCTGGTTTCCTTTCCATACTGTTTATTCCCTTTTTGCTTCCTTCACAATCTCAATGAGTGACAAAGCAGGAGGGTCAAGCCCTGCCCAGCAGAGGGGAGATTCCCTGCCCAGGAAGATGCTGATGGAGGGAGAATTTCCTGGATAAACCATCAGCTCCAAGGCTCCACCTCTATATTTCCCATTGCTTTGGACAAGTCCCCACTGCAACATGAGCAGTCCTTTAAATGATTCCTCCAATAACTGATCATCATTTAGCTGCAAACATCATGTGAGTCTGGACAAGGGCACAGTAAATACTATAATGGTGCTCATTTCAAACAGCTTTTAAGGGCATTTTAACTCAGAACACCATCAAAGTAATTCTTCTTTATTGTTTTCTGTCAGCAGTCCAGAGACAAGTAGAGATGGGGCACGGTAAATGTGGGAAATACCAGCACTCATGTTATTAGATTGGAAAGAGGTCATCACAGCCAGTCTATGATGTAAACCCTCTGTGAGAAGTACACCTTATTATCAGGTACTATTTTTTCAGCGTGGTAGTTTAACCTCCTGTAAAAAGTAGCCTATTTCTCTGTCACGAGGCAGCTGGTATTAATTTGAGCAAGATATATTTGCTACCAGAGATCACTCCTTGAGGATAATTGTTTTGATCAGCATCTTGATATTCCCTCCTCCCTCATCGTCACTTTTAAGCATTTTTTTATTTATGTGCTTAATGTAGCCATGAAACAGGATGGGGTGAGATGACATGCGCCGTGGCACTCCGTAATTCAATTTTATTCCCACTCCCTGTTTGCTAAAACATACCAAGAGCAGCAAACAGGATTACTAACGATCATACATTTGCAATTACATGAACAAATTAAGGTACAATTACCCTGTGTTAAAAAATGCAATTGAGAGAGCAAACTGACATAAGTTACAGCCAGACCATGCCATGCACAGATGATGCGACTGGAGCAGATGCATCACTGATTTGGTTGGGGTTGTTGTTTTTTTTTTACCTTTGCATCATATTGTGTGAAATTCTTCAGGGATCCTTTGCCACCTGATAAAGTGAGGCCCAGGTTTAACATGAGATCTCCACCTCCAGGCCCAATTCCAATGGTGAAGCCTGTTGTTTTGTATTTATCACTTTTAAGGGCGTCAAGCAGGTCCTTTGAGTCCTCGTAAAACTCAAAAGCAAATCCAGAATCAGCATGAGTCTAAAATGAAAGGAGCAGACATTAATTTTTCAGGTGATTCCCTTCCTTTTTAATCTCTATTTCTTGAAGGAATACCTCTTAAAGCCTGTGATGCTCCTGACAGCACCAGCACTGACTTCAGTGAACGTGGAATAAGGAATTAAGTCCTGTGCCATTTCATTTGGAAATATGTGAGAAATGTGGATAAAGCCAAGCATTTTGCTTTATCCATCTCCAAGCAGGGGAGAGGTTTGTGTTTAGCCACTCAAAGCCAGAGCTGGTAATGGTACCTATTAAGACAGCCTGACACTTCCCATTATAAAACCCTCCTTCCAGTTCCTTACAGCTCTGCCAAATCCTAACAATTTGGACTGAATTTTTTTTTTCTCTCCAGCCTGCTTCTGGATGAATTTATTTAGGAGAAGAAAAATTCAACATCTATTTACAATGGCAAGGCTAGAAAACAAGCATTGTTTTGCCTGTGTTTTAGGGAAGTGACCTTTTCCTTGACAGCTCCACTTTGCTGGCACGTGGAATCAAACAGCTCTGCTGAGTCTGGGCTGTGCCATTTGCCAGCTCTGTAAAAAGCCAGCCCCAGAGTTCAAACTGGGGACTGAGGGACTCTGCCTGCTGGGAGGACATGAAAACTACTTCCATTGAGTAATATTTCCCATGAATAATGTGTTTGCATTTGTTCATGTCACACTGTGGTCAAGCCAGCCACTTATGATGTGGGAGGCTCAAACTGAATCCTTGCTCTGCTTGGATCAGTGTCTAACATCAGAATTGACCTCATGAACTGTAAGTGTCGTGATCCTGGTGATGGGTTTCAGGACCCCTGTCTCACTCAGAATTCGGATTTATGCCCCTTGTAACCATGCCATACACTTAAAATGCTTTCAAATATTGAACAGCAGCATTGTTACCATTCTGCACATGGCCAGCTCCATCCCTAGAGAGGCAAAAGGCTTGTGCAAGCTCTACAGCTCATTAATAGCAGAATCTAGAGACAACACCTCTCTCTTGGCTCTGACTGGCCCGGAGGAAGCAGTGGGGATGCCTGGGAGATAAAGCAGTGAGTTCCCTACGTGCCAAAAACCAGAGTTTGCACCATCGAGTGCCTGCTGAGGTACCTTAAACATAACCTACGGATGGAATGTACCTCATGTCTTTGTGGGGAGTTTGGCTTTTTAGCTGGGAAATGGCTGCTAAATTTGGCCTCCTGAAGCACTCACCAGGAACTGGAATATGTGGAAGTTGTAAGGCTTGCGGAAATACTTCTCATCGTCTCCGTAGTGCAGGCGCTCGCAGGCGGCGTCGTACTGCAGCTCCCGCCACTCCCCGTTGTACACGTACTCACAGAGCCCCCCAAAAAACCCGGGGTCGTAAATGTTCTGTCTCCCTTCCTGTGTCAGGGTGTTGTATCTTGGAAAGAGGTAGCGTTTAGGAAGTTATCATAGCTCTGGTTGTATTTCCTCACTCTCTGTCACAGGTTCTCCTGATGCTACAGGTTATCTGTCCTCAGGCCTCCTGAGGAACTGGAATAGGACTTAAAGCAGGGTTGGGTTTGTTATCTCGTTGCTGTCTCCTTCCCAAAGCTACCAGGAGACAAACAGCCATTTTATTTCCAAGGCACTAATTTGGACTCGCACGTGAGAAAAGGAAGAAATCCGTGAAGTTGCCCAGCCCCTCCCAGCAAGTTCAGCTATGAACGTCCCAAAGTCCTGGAATTCCTCCAGGTTCCTCTTGAGCCTAATGCATCTCATTGTCACAAAGTGCTTCCTGGCATTCTCTGCAATTATTTTCTATCTTAATTTCATCTCTTCCTTTTTAATAATGGTCCCGTTTCTCATGGTAGTTAACACCCTCCCTAGACATGAAGTCTGTGCTTTGCCAAGTCTGTCACTTATTATTTCCTTATTCCTCCTTCCTCCTGCTCTCCAGCCCTCACAGCTGCTGCCCTCTGAAATCCCTCCTATTGCTTAGTATTCCATGCAATTCTGTGGCCCAAAGTGAAAGCGTTATTCAAACTAGACAGCAGCACTGCTCTTCTCAACAGGGAACCATCTCTAGGACTAAGACAGCAAATGCCATTGCTTTGTGTGTTCTGCAGGAGAAGCACTTCAGAGAGCAAAATTAAACAGGGTTCTCGGTGAAAATTAATGCATGCCTTGTAAAACTTTTGATGGATCCTCCCAGGCCCTGGGCCAGAGAGACATTTATCTCATGGACTCCAGAGAGTGTTGGATTGAGCTGATGGGAAAGTTACACAATGGCTGGCTCCATTCTCACCCTGTAGCCCACGTTCATAAAATCCTAGAATGGTTTGGGCTGGGAGGGACCTTAAAGATCATCCCATTCCAATCCCTCTGGCACAGGCAGGGCCATGTTCTCCAAGGGAAACTGAGCAGTAGCTCGGTCAAAATACAAGATTTTCAACAAGAGCGCCACAGTCACAATTTGCCTTTCAGTTTCATTTTATTCTGGGTTTCTCTTTTTGCCTGTATCACCTAATGAAAATTTGAAACTGAGCAGGGAAACATTTTTGTGGATAGGAGTATTTACATATACTCATGTGGAACTCAGGCTCTCTGCCTTCGATCTGTGCTCTGAAGTCCTAAATCCTGGAGTTAAATCTCCATAAGGATGAATGCCAGCAGGGTGCTGTACCTCCAAAGTCTGCTGTTTGCTTTAGTCTATTACTTTTAACAACTGGAGAAGGCTGTGAGATATCTGGGATCTATTTTTTCAGGAGTATAAAAAGGGCATCACAAGTACTGTGGTCAGGTAATAGATCTGAGACAGAATTTGAAATAGAAGCTGGAATGACCCCTCATTGCCCCCCACAGCTATGTGGGACAGCACCTCCCCTTTGGGTTTTGCACAGCCCCCTATCAATTCATGGATCACTGCTATCACTAAGGAAGAGCAATATAAGAAACATAATCCTGTTTTGATTGCGAGAGGAGCAGCTATTGATTAATTACTCACCCTTGGACTGCTTTTTCCACCCCTGGGATTGGGAACAGATGTTCACAAGGGCTTTCAATATCTTCATCCTCACAGTTATCCTCATCAGAGCCGTCTCTGCAGTCTCTGTCTCGGTTGCACACGAGATGCCGTTTAATGCAGCGCCCTAAAGTGCACAGATGCAGGCGGTGGCTTATCCACCCTCCAGAAATCCTGGCTGGCAGCTTGCACTGATTGTGCTGGTTTTCACCCACATCTCAGGGCCACAAAAGGTCATGCTGAGTGTTAAACACAACTTTATTCCATGGGGAATTTGCTTTTCCAAGCCTCTGGGACCTAAGCACAGCACAGAGTCCAAGCCGTGGCCACTCCCGTGGGCTCAGGTGGGAATCAAGGAGAGGTCACCTCGCTGTCCTGACTTTATTTTCTAAAATCACACTCTTGGAAAGTTGCTATAGGAATAGCTTCACCCCTTGGCTTAAGGAAGTCAACTCCATCTTATTAAAGTGCACCTTTTCCTCTTCCTATTGCAGGAGGCATTTGGGGAGTTTATTGCCGTAATTAATTGCAAGAATGGATATTTGCAGGAAAGGCAATGTGGAAGGGCTTTGGCTTCTGGGAGCATGGAGAAAGCCTTGAGGAGGGAGCTGTCACTGCTTAATTTACCCCAGTGGAGTGATGATAACCTGCTCCAGCTGATGAGCTGGTCACAGAGCTGACCTGTGGCTCCAAATTTCAGCGGAATTTTCATTAAATGCTCAGGAAGGAAGTTTGAGCCATTTGTATAGAAACAAAAATCTGTCAAGGCTAGTCAAAGTTTCAGAGAACAGCCGTTTTATATCCTAATCCTCAGAGCTGGAGGTGGCTAAAAAGAAGTAAATCACCCCAACAGATTGCTGGTTGGATTGATGATTGAACTCTGTCTCTAGCAGGGGAGAAAGTGGCACGTTGTGGGAGCGTTGTGCCTGCCGAGGGGAGTGTGAGCGTGCAGCACAGCAGTTGGAGCAGAATATTCCTCTTCTCTTTGTTCCACTGAAAAATTCACATTCTCCATGTCACACAGCCTTCTTTTCTACCCAAATCCCAGGGTAACATGGATGGATTTCTGTAAGAGGAAAACACTGAAGAGGGGGAATTTCCTGCTGGCTCTCCTACTGGTTCTCCCTCCTGCTGCCCAGGGCAGGGCACCGATACCCCCAGGACCAAAACCTCTCTGGCAGGCGTTTGTGCCTGGGTCACTCACCTGTTCCCTCGCACTGGAAGTCCTGCCCACACCCTGGTGGCCCTGTGCACGTTGTCTCAGCTCGACAGGCTTGCTCATCCCAGAGCTGCCCAGCGCAGCGTCGCCCTCCAAACTCTGCTGGCTGCGCCAGCCGCCGGTAGCGGTGCTGCACAGAGACACAACCACGTGTATCCCCCACAGGAATCCCCTCCCCAGGCCATAAAGCAATCAAAACTATCATTTTAATATATATTCCTATTTCTATGTGTGTTTGTGGCTTGAAGACTTCATATGTAGTAAAGGCAGGAGAGTCAGCAGAGAGTTGGGAGCTCAGATTTGTCTGGAGCTCATATGTGTGGACTTAGAGGGGGGTGGAATGGCTGTTTTAAAAATATCTCTATTTTATACCTTGGAAAAATATGGCATTTTTCCGGCTGCATATGCTTTGTCCTGCAATGCACCAGGCTCAGATGGACACAGACACTAATTACAACACTGATCCTGCAACATTTCTGATGGATTATTAATGAGAATTGCTGCTCTTTAAACTAGGAAGGGAAAAAAGAGAGGGAGAAGAGCCATGTTATTTACTGATAATATACTGTTTATAAGCACAGGAACAAAAAAGGCAGGGAGAAGATAAACTCAGTAGAAAGCAGAATTATGTCAGGTATTTGAAAATAAATTCTCAAACTATGAAGACATATGTGAGATGATATAAAAATATGAGAAGAAGAGCTGATGCATGAATTCTGCTTCTAATTTCTTTTTACTGGACTATTTGCATTAAGAATCAGGGGATACTTAATTAAGTCTGAGACAGAAAAGGAAGAAAGTCTTGGGCAAGTATTCTGGCCTGATTCTTCCACCATTTGCCTTGATTTTGGTTTTCCTGTTCTGCTGCCTCGAATGAATTTATTCCCCAGCTTACACCAGGGTAAATAAGAGCCTCTCTAGCAGAGGAGCATTTCCATCATATTTGGATGAGTTTACTGGATGCTTCAGAATGATGAATATGTATAATATATATAATTAATGTGTGTACATCCTCATCACAGACACATCTGAAGATGAATGAATACATTACAGTGGATCCTTACTTTTTTCTCTTGGCAAGGGAAGCAATCAGTCCATCCTGACCACTTGAGGTCTTTGAAGCTGTGTTTTGAGAGGGGCTGGAGGCTGGAAGGGGCAAAATTATCTGTGTGTGTGTTTTTCCACCAGGAAGCTGGTCTGTAGGAAATGGGAAGCATCCCAAGATGTCCCATCCAAGTATTCACCATCAGAATTGAGCAGGGCCTGCAGGTGCAGTACTTGGGGATTTTGCCTTGGGATTCCTGCTCTCCCAAGACATCTTTGCCCTTTCCAATTGGTAGATTGCAATTAAATATATATATATATATGTGAGCAACCATCCTGAGCAAACAGAAGGAATGTCATGGAGAGACGGGTTTTAAAGAAAAGCTGATTTTTTGCCTTTCTTTTCAGAAACACATCACAGTTTCCAGGAGCAGGGATGTTTATCACTACTGAGCCTGTTTTGAAGTCACTTTCTTTGCACCAGTGTGACCTCCCAGGATTTTTCCCAGCAAGTGGGAAATCAGATCCTGGTTTCCCTGGGCTTTGTGGAGGGGTGGGAATGGCTGCACCAACAGTGCTGAGAGAACAAGGTACAAAGGACCTCTGCTAAGAATTTGTTGGTTGAGTGTTTCCAAAGCAAAATACACAAACTCTGAAAAGAAGAAAATAACTAAAGGAATATTATGAAAGGAGAAAAGGGCAAAGGTACAGTATTGTAGTGGCTCTTGGATTAGACTCTCTGCACATAGTGTGAATATCACTACACAACAGCCAGCAAATACTTCTCCTGCCTCCCAGCCCAGTCATTACCATCTCTAGTTCTGTCTCTTCTCCTAAAGCATTCATTTCATGAGCCATTTCTTTGTCTTGAGGAGCAATCTGTGGCATACAAACACAACCCTGCGTATCCACAGCCTTCGAAGCATTTGAGGGCTCATTCTGAGTCAGAACACTGTTATTGTTATTATTATTTTGGTGATTAACTAATGAGCAGTCCGTTTCACCCACAAGACTGCAGTCCAAAGAGAAATATTAATAATTAGCAGAGGTACATAGCTGATGGGGGATCCACCAGAAGTTGGGGAAGAGAGATTCACTGAATGGGAGCCACAGCAGCTCAGAAAGGGAGCCTGTGGGTGCAGACCCATGTGTGAGCTGAAAACCCAGGAGGCTGCAGATGAGCCCAGAGCTGGAGGATGTGCAGGTATTGATGCCTTTTCGCTCTGACAGGAGGATTTGTGGGCTGCATCCTTCAGCACTTCGCCAAGTACTTAATTGGCTCACCTTCGATTGGATTTTACATTTCCCTCTTCATTATTCTGCCTTGTTTGATAAGTTCATCAAACATCAAAAATCTCGTCTTTGTTCATTTTCAAAAGGGATTATCGGAATAAGCCTTCATAATTAAGTGTATCACTACCACAATTTTTTTCTTCTTTCTGCCTTCTCCTTGTCTCCATGTTCCAATTATCACTGATACCTTTTTTTGATCCTCCTAAATCATATTTGCCTTTACAACAAGCTTGAAATTAATAGCTGTAGAAAAAAAAATAAATCCACCCATTTCCCTATCATGACACTATAGCTTTAGAAAAAAATGTAACTTGTTTATTCCTTTCCTTCAAAGCCCAAGTGACACTCAGATAGGTTAACAATATTGTTCATGGGAAAAAAAAAAACCTGAGGTGTGAGGATCCGGCTTGGACTGAAAACTGGGTTACTCACATGCACTTGTTAGCTTCGTGTTGTCGAGTGTAAAATAATTATAATGCAAAAGAATATGAAAAATATTAACTCATAAATCATCCTGTATAGAGAATTCATTTCAAGTGCCCAAACCCAGCCTGGTAATTTCAGTAAGGAAGTTTAAGAAGGCTTAATAGTCATCTGTAAAAGGAAAACCATTGTGCAAACAGTTCCTTTAAGAAGGAATTACGATGACTGGCTTGGGCTTTGGACAGCTGCCAATTTTTAATTCTTTTTTTTTTCTTTTTTTTCCTGGTAGCTTTGTGCACATGCCTCAAGTCAGGAGAAAACTGATGGGCTGATTGACGTGCTGGTAATTCCTGTATGGAAATGTGGGGAAGGGAACAGGCTTACCTGTGGGAAGGCGGTGCCTGCAGCTCCCTGCACGCCGTGGCCGGGGTTGGTGTCAAAGCCAGTGACACACACACAGACAGGATCAAGGGACAGAGCTGAGCCAGGCTCCACCACATTGCTCTGCCATATGTAAATGTTTGCTATAGATCAGCTGCAAAGCAAAGCTTTTAAGTTTTCAGGACTGCTGGAAGGAGCACGGAGCCCACCAGGCTCCGAAATGCTGCAGTAAATCATTGACAGCAGCACAGATCGAATCACAAAGAATCAGGACACATCCCAGAGGCCTTTGCCCTTTTGGAAACAAATTCCCTGTTTTCTGGCAAGGAAATATATTAAACTGTGCAACTGTTTCCACATTAAAGTCAATCAAGTCCTATTGTAGCAGCGTGTTTCTTACCCAGCCTGCGCCCTCCTTTTAATTTGAAGGGGGAGGAAACTCCTGTTATTTCCCAGAGTGACTTCACTGTAATTTTGATGTGTCTGGTTGCTGACCAGGGAAAAGCTTCCCAGTACAGCAAATTGAAGATTAGCACAAAACTGTGTTACGAGGAGTGCCTGCCTTCCAGACACATGTAGGAAATGTCAGCTCAGCTTCCTCCCCTTGCCAGCCCCACCAGGCAGCTTCCCACCCCTAAAGCTGCTGTGAGTTATCACCTGGCTTTTGGATGGCCCTACACAGCCACTGCAACATAAAAATCGAATTCCTTGTTTCCTAAAGTGATTTGGGGGGGGAGGAAGATGTCCCCTACATCTGAAACCCTTGTGGCCATACCTTGTGCAAACCCATCTGCTCGTGGTGGCTCTTATGCTTTTAGCCACGTGGCATCTTGGTGGATGTGCATAAGTGTAGGGAAGCAATACCACAGAAAGCAAGAACACCACAGGTTATTTCATTTTAAGACAGCAGTCACAAGATGACAATATTTAGTTCTGTCATGTTAGAAGAAATTAAAAATGGCCATGGGAAAGATGCTTGGTCACAGCCCAGGTTGCCTCATAGCTGTTTCTTCAAGCTTTCACAGCCTCCAAAATGCCCCCAAGGGCACTGGGCAGGCACAAAGGTGCACAAGGAATCTGTATCTTCATTAGGTAGCAGTTAAAAAAAGAGTAAGAGATCTATGGAGACTTGTGTGCTCTAACAAGTGCCTGTTTCTCCCTGCTTTTTCTTCTGCATAAGCAGGCCGAGATGCTTCGTGCATAAATGAAGTGTTCCCAGCAGACAACTGGAAGTTTGAACCTCAATAAATTCAAGAGGAAGTGTAATTATTGTAGGAAAGCCTGGTCTTGGGCTATTATAGCTGTTAAACAGACAGTGAATTGTCCTGTGCCCACAAAAGGCTGGGCTGGAAGTGTCATTTTGTGTATTTCCCAAATCAATTGCAAAGCTCATTTCAATAGCTGGTATTGTAAATTATCAAAATGAAAGGACCTCTTAGCCAGTTATTTTCATGTAATTAAAGTTCAGAGTGACCCTGGGGCTTGTCTTTGCTAGACACTAAGAAATGTAGCACAGGGGTAAACTCAGTATTGGAATGAAATGAGCAGTGCCCTTCTGTGACCTTCGGGAGTGCCTTAATGCAATCTTTACCTACTAATGCACTGCAGATGGGCTCAGAAAGGCCTTCTCCTCTCTTTGCCTGTGCAAGAAGAACTCCAATGAGGGGTTTAATATTTTTTTAATATACTATTAAACCTAAATTGCTTTTGCCTGGGAGAAAAAGTAGGGAAATGTAACTGGCCTGAGGCGATCCCCCTCATCACCTCCCCATTACACATCACAGCCTCTCTGCAGGTGCCTGGTAAGACAGAAGGACATAAAAAGCTGCTGGCCGTGCTTATAGAGGTCTGGTGGGGATGCACCCCACTGGTTTCCATCCAAACCTGGGCTGTCCTGTGATACAAATGGCTGTTTTGCACAGCCAAGTGCATCCTCAGCATCTAAGCAATTTTTTTCCTGATAGCAGCATCAGAAACACCCCCTATATATAATGGAAGTTATTTGTGGCACATCTCCCAGGTAAAAGGCTGGGCTGGTTTGTGCAATCAGGCACAACACCAATTTCTCACTGATAGGTGAGGTCGTCTGGGGGAGAGATTTAAGCAGCCAGCAAGGCACTCCACGTTAGAGGTGAAATTAAAGAACCTTTCTCAGAGCTGTTATGTTCCAAAAGTGATATATATATATATATATATATACACACACACACACATATATATATAAAAGCTGTGGTTTTGTTTAGAACATTTTGGACTGAATGTGTCTACTCCAAACCCAAATTACGTCTCTGAGCCTCTGCCTTGCAGTGCTGGCTGTGCTGTCCATGGTGATGCAGTCACCCTCAGGAGGATGTGCCATGAAGTCTTCAGGAGCATGGAAAAAGGGCTGGGCAGTGAGCTCACATCATCACTTTGTGTCTATTCCCACCACAGAGCTCTTTCCCTGACGCCGAAGAACCCTTTAATTAAAAGAGACACAATTCCTCACTCACAACTCCTGCCTATCTAAAATCAGGGCAGATTAACTCAGTGTAAACAAACTCTGTGATAGCAACACAGGATTTTGTTCCACTTCAAAAAAGGCTCCATTTCAAATGTGTTTGGCCCAACAAAGGGAATTAATTTCTGCCTGAAGAGTGCATTGATCTTTTAGGTATCACCTGAGAGGCCCGTGGCTAGCGTGGCTGGCTGCACAAGCCTAGCCCCAGGGTGAAGTTGTAATGGGTATAACATAATGTTATTGCCACCCAGTGATTTGCATTTGTTCCTTCTTTGTATCTGGATTTTTATTTTTAGTATATTCATATAGCTTTTGCTGTAGGGGATACAGTTATGTTAAAAAAATTCATCCTTTTTTTATGCCAATATTCTATTTATATTTTTTGTAGTCTATTATTCACGCAGCACTTTGAATCTGAATTTTGTTCCTACTTGAAGACCATGGCCATTTAAAGGCATTTTTTATCCTATTCCAGCCATCCTCCCCACAAAGTTTGCTGTGGCTGACACCTGCCACGTGCTGTTTGCTCTCTCATGGTTCAGCAGGGAAAAGGGCAGAGCAGACAGCCTTTTATTCAGGGGTGGTGGGGTTTTTTTTGGAACAATGTAGAGATTGTTGCAATGTGCAGAGGTTATACAGGGCTGTAAGATCAAGGAGTTGTGCCTTGCAGTTGGAGCTCTACCCTTGGGAAGTTTTGCTGTTTCACACATGCTTTTGCAGCACACATGGGCTTTTCTCATCCTCTCTTTCTCTGCACAGCAGCGTGGTAAAAGAACTTCTGTTTTTCCAAGGAAGCCAAGCTGGCTACGGAAGTCTTCATCAAAAAATCAGAATCCCAGTGCAGATGCCATCAAGAGAAGGATTTCGGTTCAGAGATGGCTTGATGCTGCAGAGCAAGCAGGAGACCTGAGTAGAAGCAAGAAGAAGGACAAGAGGTTTGGTAGAGTTCACCCTGCAGAGCAGATGCTGTGGTGATGTTCCAAGGCTGCATTAGAGCAGGGAAAGGCTGAGCCTGACCCTGCCCATCACTGCTGGCAGAGGGGGGACAGCAAACGCTGCTGCCCAGCCTCTCAGCACCACGCTTCTCCTCTGTGCAGGACTGAGCTTGTGGAGAGATGTGGGGAAGGTCCACCCAAGGACCAGCAGATGACCACAGCCCTAGTGCTGCACCTGCCAGTCCTCATTTGGTGTCCCTGAACCCAGAACTGCTCTGGTAAGGTCCCTTCCACCAGAGTAACCACTTAGCTTTGCACACAAGGGATTTATTTGGGCTATATTGCTAAAAAAAGTTGAGCACTTAAGTGTGGGATCAGGGCCATCCTGCAGAGACAACCGTGTTGCTTGGACAGATAAAATCCCTGACACTTTGCAAGGCTTTAAAATTAATTTTCATGGGTCCTACAGTGCTTTGATGGGCCTGATCTTAAAAATTTGGGTGGAGCTGTGTGGGTACCCCCATGGGCTCCTAAACAATGCTTGCCCTGTGCAGTCACAGCAGGTGTTGGCTTTTGGAATGCAAGGATCAATAACACTGCATTTTCCTGAACCCCTCGTTCCTGCCAGCAATGACAGAGCCAGCAGCTCGATGGTGGAACAAGTGATCCTATTTCCCCCTCTGCTGGAAAATCAGGATATCACCTCCTGGCAGGAAAAAGGATGAGATTCCAGCCATCCTCGTCCCTGCCCTTGGCGAGGGGTGGGAATTAGATGACCCTTAGCATCCCTTCCAACCCAAACCATTCTAGAATTCTCTGAGATGTGCAGGGAGCCAGGCTGGAGGGAGTGTCCTGGCCCTCCTGGGAACAGAATAATGCACTAAAAGCAATCCAAATCCTTCCCCAGCACAAGGCTGTGCCCTGCTTTCCATTTCCCCCCATTTTGGGGAGTTTTGAGGTGGGTTTCTTTTCAGAGATGTGGACCCTACTGCCTTTTCCTAGTGTTGTCCCACGTGTGAGCAGCCAGTAGCTGTGACAAGGGAAAACAACTTGTCAGACCATCCCCAATCTAAAATATCTTGACACTGGGCTAATGTTATCACAATTATGTCATGGGCAATACCTAAATCTTGTTATCTTCCGAAAATGATTGCCCCAAAATTTGTCTCATCTTCACCTGAAAAAAAAAATCCCAAATCTCTATAACAGACTTAGATACCAACTCCACCAGTTCACTAATTTAAAAAAATGAAAAAATGAGAAAGATAATTCAGGGAAAATAAGTCAGCTGGATGCTGTTCTTGTAGCCCCCAGACTGATGCAACTATGTAATGTACTAAAAGCTTCACTGCAGGAAAAAAAAAACAAAAACCAAAAACACTCAAGACATGAAATTTAAAATTTTTAAACAGGCTGAAATGGTTTGTTCTGGGGAGGCTGTGCACGTGCAGGGAGTGTTTGGGGCTGTGCTGTTTGGGTTTATTCCCACTGGGGCTGTGCCTGGGAATTCCCATCCTGGGTTGGTGCCTCTGAGATGCAATCCCAGAGCAAACCCCAAGCTCCTGCCCAAAGGAGGGGGTCACTCTCTTCTGCTGGGGAATCAAAAAAAGATTTGGCTTCCACTTGTGCAGTGTTTGATGTTCACAACACCACGGCTGCCCCGTGCTCCCTGCGCAGTTTTTGTAGCCCAGTGTGATTTATGGCAGCCCTGGTGGGGCTGCTGGGGTCCCACAGGGCTAGCACTCACAAAATGCAAGTTTTAAAGAAACTTTTGGCATTTTACTTTAATTTTAGAGTGCATATAGAGGAATCTACCCTGTCCTTT